TTTCACGTCATCCTCTTGTTAATTTCTAACCCCACGAGCATCAAAATGTTGATAATATATTGAAAATATCAAATATATATTAACATTATCAATTTCATACTTTTCAATTACATAATAATTTTAACATCTTTATTAATTACCTTCTAAAAAGGGTTTGAGTTTGAATTTAGAACTTAAAAAATAAATTCCAATTAAAAATAATAATGAAATTAAATAAGAAATATAAAAATAATGGAATTTTTAATGTATCTTTCTAGTTTTTTTCATAAATATATGTAAAGGGAAAATATTTCAATATTAAGTTGACTAACACCCATTAAATTTTTTTTTTTTAATTTTAGATCATTGATTGAGAGTACTTAACATTCAACTAATTGCATAAATTTATATTTTCAAAAAGCCATTTATTAATTATAAAAGAATATTAGTTAGTTAGTTTTTTTCCCCCTCCTACTGGTATTTTTCCCAACTTCCATCACAAAGAATGAATTAGTAGAATATAAAACAAGCTAAAACGCTGTCGTTTTGGTACCTTAGTTCTGTATTTCAAATCATTGTTCCTATAATAGCCAACAATGCAATAATGAAAACCAAGAAAAAAAGAAAACAAAATTCATGCTGAGCTGGCAATTTGGCACAGTCATCCTTGTAATGATTCCAAATCATGAGATGACACGTGGAGGAATTATATTTAAGTTATGGTTGAAACTGATTTTAGGTATTGCAATTATTTATGCCTGAAGTTTTGTAATATTTTATTTTAATTTTTTAGTGTTTAATTATCTGAAAGTTTTATTTTAATATGAAATGTTGAAGGGTTATTATTGACAATTATTAATATAAATTATAATTAAATAATTCAACATTATTGTTAGTTATAAAAAAAGGCTCTAGATTTGATTTTTTTTTTGTCAAAAAAAATTACTTGAGCCATGATAGATTTTATTAATTAATTTTGGAACACGTTAGTAACTATTTCATTTTGGGAATAATTAACTTTTTACCTTTGTAATTAATTGAATGTGTCAATTTTGAACCTTCAAGTTTTTTTCCTTTATTTATTTTTCTAAGCTCGATAAATAATGGGGATTTGAACCTCCAACTTAGATAAACAATGCCTTGACCCGTTGAACTTGTTTCTTTTTAGGGCAACTTTTAAAATTTTAATATTATTGAATATCAAATTAGTGGTTCAAAATAAATATCATAATTCTCTTTCAGGGAAAAAAACCCCTAATTTTTAAAATTAAGTTAAATAATGGTCTGAAAATCAGACTATGAATCAATCAAAATTCAATAAAAAAAAAAAAACCCTTCAAAGATATTAAGATTACTCTTAAAGCCAAACAACAAAAAGAAAATGTAAAAAAAAAAACAAACAAACAAACTAAAAGTAGCATGTGAAGGTTTGTATACAAATATCTGCCAAAAAATAATAACCCAATCTAGCATAAAATTTCTAAAAATAACAAGTCGATTGATCAAATTGTTTAATTATTTTCACACTTATTTGAGTTCAGACTTCCACCCAATTAAATCAAAACTATAAGATTAAACATGGACAACATTTAATTTCAACTTAGTCAAATACAAACCAATCCTTATTCCTTTTCCATGCAAAGTACAAACTTCATATATATATGTACATATTTCCCATACGTACTCAAGAGGGAAAAAAAACTATTTTCACATACAAAATAGGTATCCAAGTATGCAATTAAAAAGAATATTCTCCATAGCCAAATAAGGCCAATGACATGGCAAAGTAGGGGATGTATATAAGGTGAGGTGGCAGAAGTGGGGAAGGGCATAACAGAAAACACACAAAAAAGGCAAAAAAATTAAAAATATATATATAAGAAATGGCAATGCAGGGTTGGGGGGGAACGAGGGCAAAATGGGAAATGATAGGGAAAAAGGAAAACCAAAGAGAAAAAAAAGGCATAATAAGAGAGAGATGAGAAGATGATGGTGGGAAGACAAAGGCCATATGGGGATAGCCATATACATGTGCATTCATTAAATCAAAGAGAGAAAGAGATAGAGATAGAGAGAGAGAGAGAGGGAGGGCATGAAAATGAAATCAAAAGCAAACTCCCAAAAGAAAAAGCCATGATTCTTGTGCCTTACAACACTCCTCCCTCTCTTTTTTTTTTTTTTTATATCCCCAATCTCCCTAAATCGCTACTTTCGTAAATGTATTTTGATCGTTGAGTTATGTTCCTGTCTTTATCAGCATGAGTATAACGAGATTCAATTGTTTTACTATAAAAAGTATGTTCATATCCTTCTAATTAGGAAAACTATCTAGTTTTTTTGTTTAATTACTTAATGGGATTTTTTAATTTTAGCTTGTATCGAATTGAATCTAAGACTAATGGATGAAATTGATACATTTTTTAAAATTAAGTTAGAAGAGTATCAATAAATGTGAGCATAACTTTAAGTTGTTTGGTACGGTGTTAGTATCTTTTTTTATAGGTTGTACATCCTCACTCGTAGACTTGTAGTATAAATTTAATTTAAAAAAAAATATGTTAAAAATTATCTAAAATACATCCAAATATCTAATCCAACTATAAAAACTCTCAATTTTGCAACAAAATTCTAGAATTTAATCAAAATGAAGTCTCGACGTAGATACATAAAAGTTCAAATGTACAAATGTGTCTCGAATAAAATAAAATAAGGATGAAACTAAAATTTAAGGTTAAATCTTGACTTTGGAGTAGAATATATATATAAATTTTTGTTTAAAAAAATTAATCAGGTGAGTTTGGATTTTTCTTTTTCTTTTTTTTTCTGGTGTGAATCTAATTTGTAATAATTGTAACATGGGCATCAACCCTTTTGGCAACAGTCCCTATTGCAATAAAAGAGTTGTTCAGATTAATGATGTAGGGGAGGATTATTGGTTAAAAAAAGAAAAATCATTGAGAGTTTTTATTTATTTATTTATTTATTTAAAGAATGAAAAATGATGAATTTAATAATTATTATTATTAATGATAATGATGGTTAAAACGGTAAATTATTGACCCGATCGGAAATAAATAACCCGAGATCTTTTCCACACGCCCTTTGCTTACTTTTCAGGCAATTTGATGGCGTTTTTAAATCTTTTTCAAACCGGTGGTTGAATCCGACGACCCGTGAAGATGAAAAACCACCCGCAATATCCGGTCACTTTCCCATCACCTCACCGGCTGTACCCGGTCACAGATCAAGCCTCTATTTTTCTAGCTTTTGTCCCTTTACAATTTTAAATCATTATATTTCAATTCCTACATTTTTTAAATATTTACTTCAATCTTCCCACTCTTAATTGTTTAACAACTTCGAATATGCATATTAATTGACTTTGATTTCGAATATTTATATTAAACTACTTATATAGTCATGTATTAGATGAGAAATTTCTTAACGCTCTTGAGCGTTGTAATACCTGTGAGGATAATGAACCAATTCGAGCCTAGTTGAATGGATAAACGGTAAAAGCACTTATTACTATCATAAAACTTAAAAAGAATGTGAGAATTATTATTTTAACTTTCAACTTCAACGACTTAATTTCTAAAGTATGTCATATTAAATATGAGTTTAGCTCAGCGATAATTGACACATATCCCTTACCAAAAAGTCATAAGTTCGAATCCCCCACCCTACTTTTTGTACTATAAAAAAAAAGTACATTCACGTTAGCTTATATTACCTACCATCTCAATTCACACTAGATATATATTTTTTTATAAATATCTCTTAATTTCTCAAACCACACATCAAATTTTTCTTTTTAATACAACAGATTAGGGATACGGAGTTTGAACTTCCAATCTCAAAAGAATTAATAGATGTCAATTATCACTAAGCTATGCTCGTATTAGCAACCCCACATTATTCTTAAATATACACAGTTTAGAATAAACATAGTAAAATGTAATATTGTTTAGTTTTTTATTAGGCAAATTACATTTTTTGTCTTCTAAGGTTTTTTTAGTCTCTGAAGTTTGAGAAAGTATTCTTAATAATTTAAAATGTTTAAATTCTACGTGCAGAAGTATCTTCTAAAACCTTAGGGATCATTTAGCACATCTTCTCAAACTTCACGTGCCAAGTAGATATCTACCTCTGTCAAATAGAGATCTACCTCAACTCTTAGAGATCAAAAATATATTTTATCAATTTTTTATTTTTTAAGTTTACTTACTTGTATTGTATGACATGGATGGCGTGGCCATCTGGTCCCCACTGCCCTACTAGACTTATAGGACACCTAGCCCTCCCACTGTGAGAGAGAGAATCTATGGTGTGTTGCCAGCTATGAAGCTGAAGGATCAAAGCTTTCCTTGAGGTCAAAGCTGGCATTTTTTCCTTTCTTTTATCCTCCCTCTCTCTCTCCTCTCTCTCTCCTCT